ATCAGCGCTTCTATGTTCCTTTTCTATGTGTAATTTCCCATTACTGTTGACCTAAAATCTAAAGTAATTATTGGTTTTAACTATTTCTTAATTTTCTACTTGCCTTAGTTTTCTATTGAGGGTAAATTTGGTGCTTGAAGTGTAAAAAGTTTTCATTCTGCTGCAGCATGAAGCAGGAATAACATGTCATGGTTAGAATATTGGTTTTGCTTCACTAATCGTGTCCTAATAAACTCTGATGTGAGCTGTGAGGGTATGTGCAGTAAAAACAAAGTCTAGTCACAGCAGAGAGTCTGGCTGGTATTTTCCCATCATGCTTTGCTGCTTTCAGAGGAGCTTGGCTGGATATTCGGTTCCTGCCGCTGAGCTGGATGCTGTTTTGTTTTCCAGCTTCTGTCCCGCGGTCGCTCACGCATCGATTCATTGTCCTCTTTATCCTCTAACGTCGGCTTGCTTTTCCGTTTGGTCGGCGCAGCCATGGAATTTATGAACAGTGACTCACAGCGGATTCTTCTCCAGATAAACACGGTTTATAACAACAACAACAACAACATGGCCGACAGCAGCAGCGCCTCCAAAACAACAACAACACTACAGATAATTACTGCAGTTATAGAAGATATTAGAGGATCATTTAATGGACACAACAGTTTAATAAAACTGCTAAATTAATAAAATACACCTGATAACGACTGAGCCTAGAAAACACCACCTAGCTTTCATCTTCAAACGTCGTCAGATTTTAGCCTCCTGCTGCTAAAGTCAAAGAATCTTAATGTTTATTCGCTCAACATTCAAACATTTGAATCAATAAACAATAAGATTAATTAATGTCAAATTATCTTCTAAATGTTTTATGAAACTATTAACTAAATTAATTAGTAGAAAATGTCATTGAATAACAGTGGAGAACCTGTTAAAATTGGAATAAAAGTAATTTGCAGTAAGAGATGATTTCTACACAACAAAAAATTTAAATTTTTTGTTTTTTAAATTAGGGCATTTCTTCTTGATTGAGCAGATTAGTGAAACACTTTGCCGATAAATGAGACAATTTACATTTAAAATAAGAAAAAAGACCAGAAGTCTCTTATTTCAAGTGCATAACATCTAATGTTCTTATTTTAAAGGTAAAAATGCTAATTCTATTGGCAGATCATCTTAGTTTCCTACTCAAATTTAGGTGAAATACTCTTATTTTAAGAATTTTTAAAAACATTTTCAGAAAGGTTTTGCAGTGTATTATTCCTGTGTTTACACAGCAAAAAATTGAAATCTAAATAAGTTATTTTTTTTTCTTAAAATAGTTGCATTTGTTCTTGAATTGAGGAGGTAAGTGAGACATTTGCCAACGGAACACGACGATTTTTTATTTAGAATAAGAATTACAAACATATATTATCTACTTATCTTATTTTAAGAGTGAAAATACTAATTCTCTTCTTAAATTAAGGGCAAATACACTTAATTTAAGAATTTTGTTGACTAATTTCTAGATCGTTTTTTGCAGTGAATAATTTCTATTATTCTAACCTAAAGATAGTGAAAGGATGTAGAAAATACCTGCTAGAATAAACCTTCACAGGTCAGTGATGCTTTAACCGTCCCTGTCCTGCGGACGCCCGGACGGGACGAATCGTCCTTTCCTGTGAACTGCTGCTCATCATTGGAAAAACATGCCTGCCGGGTCTATTGATTGCTCTACATCAGCGGCTCCCATCATGTCCACAGCAATCTCCCATCCGATTGCAGAGGTTATGCACGGCCATGAGAGGAAGCATCTGGAAGGGCGCCTGCGGCTGCGGCTGCGGCTGCCTGCCAGCAGCTTCCAATACATTCCTGCTGGATTTTATTAGATGCAAAATGTTGGAATAAACAAAAAAAGGATGAATTTTTCACTGATTTATAAAGAAAGACGACTTCCCTCTGCACTGCCCCTCCATTTTGAAACGTTTGTTCTCTAGAAAGGAATATTCTGCTGATAAATGAGCTATTAAGTTGACAGTGGTTAGTTCTGCAGCATAGAGAGGCTCCTGTTCAGTAAAATCTGTTCTCTATTCGACCAATGAGGGAAAGTTCAACCGTTAATCATCCTGACTGACAGCTGCAGGACTTTCTAATGTTCAGAATAACGACTTATACTGAATATTATTCAGTATAAATATGTTCATTATAATGAACATATTTACATGGAGGATACTGGAAGTAATTAGATTTAGAAACATTTTATTGTCATTTTGTTCAAACAGGGTGAATAAAACCATATTAGTACAGATTTAATTGGATTTTTTAAAATCT